TTCATTCGAAATTGTTTTATGTTCTGCTTTCAGTGGCAATGCAAAGCCATTGATAATACTTCCTAATATTTCCAGGAGTTCAGCAACACCATTGAAATGTTCTGTTTCATACATAAACCTGAGGAAACGATGTTAACTTGTTTTCTGATGAATGCTCTTAATCCAAGAAATTTCCCATAAATTCGATGCAGAACAGTCTTCAGGAAGTCACGTTCTCTGGGATCTTCACTATCAAAAAGTTCCAGGAGCTGTTGTACAAATTTCTGATCAATCTATCGCTTTGCAATGCTAGGCTGGAAATCAGGGCTTTCCAAAAATCTTAAGAAGAAATTCATACACCAATTGTATGTGAGGCCAAGAAGCCTCAAGTGTGGGTTCATCCTCCTCTGGATCAAAATCTGGATTATCACTTGGAGGAAGAGTACGGAAGATATTTGCACTGATCATTTTGACTATATCAGAATACGCTGATTCAACAATTACACCACGATTAGTTGAAAACATACTCAACCAGTTCATTCAGTGCTGCTCTCTTAATTTCTTTGCTCTTCAAGTCTGAAACACAGTCCATGAAATCAAACAGTACACAGCACTGTTGCAACTTCTGTTGTTCATGTGAAGTGGCATCTTTGAGTTGGGGCCGGGGCTGCCGCTCCGCGGGGCTGCCCTGGCGGCGGAACTGCCACGAGCCCTGGGAGCGCTTCTGCCTCAGCGCCATGCGCACCGATTTCCGGGTGAAGCCCGTCCGCTTTCTCCGAGGCCAGGATGGCGGCGCTGGCAGCGACGATGCCGACATCTCCGCGGCCCAGGCGCTTGCCAGCTCCTGCGCTGCTTGCACTGCACGGACAGCGGCAGGAGGAGGAGGAGGAGGTGGAGGAGGCGGGGGTGAGGCGCGGAACGGTCGCGCCCCTCCGCCCCGCGCCCCCGGCCACCGTCTTCCGGCTCCCCGGCGCCGCCGAGCTTCTCCTCGCCGCCCGCCAAAGCCTCACCAGCGCATCTCGGGGCCGGAAGTCCCTGGTCCCCGCCGCGCGGCGGGCTCCCGGGGCCGACGGAAGCAAGGGCGGGGGAGCAGGGGGGCCGAGAAGTTGTTGACTCCGGGCGCGGAGGGCGGGTGGAAGGGAGCCTGAGGTTTAGACAACGGAGGCGACGGAGCAGGGGCGCGGACGCGGAGCGCGCCGCTCGTCCCTTCGTCCAGGTCGCCGGCCAGCCCCTCAGCGGCCGCTGCCAGAGCAACCCGCCTTCCTTGGAGTCTCCTCCCGAGGCGCTGCCATCGCGGGTCCCTGCCGAGCCTCGGCCGCGGTGCCCGCTCTTCCCTGTCCGCGCGGTCCCCGCATCTCCCGGGCTCTGGGCGAGCACACGAGCGCTCCTCGGGTGCGGAGCAGCCTGCGCTCCCTCCCCCACGCGCCCCTCCGCCGCCCACGCGGAACCCCCAGCGGGCGTCCGCTACAACTGGAGAGGCGGTGGGGACGCGCCAGCGGGGGAGTGTCCAGCCAACATTCTTAAAACCGCTCCTGGACCCTGGATCAGTAACTGCCAATGAGAAGTGAACCTGTTCTTGGCATCCAGACACCTGGTGAGTTGAGAAACATTGCAACTCCTCCCATGCCTCTATATTCAGAGTTCTTTCTTCTGTCCCACCTCCGTCCATCCAGGGTTTAGTCTGCACCACTTTAAAGAACCTCACCGCAAGACCTCTAGCTCTCAGGTCAATTTGTTTCAAATAAATCATTTAGAAATAGAACCCCTCTTCATAAAACTACCCCTAGCTCATCCCTTTCTCTCATAGTAAGTTCATCAGAAAAGCCTGCAGCACTCTCTTCTCATTAGGTCCCATCCAAATGAGTCTTTTACCTCAAATCCAGGAATGGTTTCCCCGCTAGTTCTCCTGATGCTGTCACTGGTCTCAGCGTCTGCTTGCATCCTTGTTCACCATCAGCAAGAGTGATTTTTTAAAGTCCACATTAACCCTGCCGCTCCTTTGCTCAGATGCATGCCATCAGTGAATCCATCTTTATCATGGCCTAGTTAGGCCTACATTACACATCCCCTTCTATTGCCTTACCCACTCAACTCACCTTCCCATCAAACCACACTGATTGCATTCATATTCTTTAATCACTCAGGACAAAAAATCCCCTCATTTCCTTGAAGACTTTACTCAAAATCACCTTTTACTTTAAAACAGTAAAGTCCTTTTACCAGGACTCTATAGATACCTTGTCCTACTATGACCTTTTGGTCTAATAATTATTGTTGTTGTTTCTTGGTTTTACATTTATACCATAGGAATATCCATCTTATTTTATACCATCTTACACTTTTATTCTTTGCTTACTTTCTCTTCCATCTTAAAATATAATTTTTGTAGATACCTAATATTTATTGTACATTCAGCAGAATGTAGTTTTATGCCACAGGTGAATCCATTTGTTATTGAGATTGTAATGTAAAATCTTTAAAATATATAAAAACTTACTTTCTCCTGTTTTGAGGAACCTATAATAGCCCTTGAGAATGCAGTTAGTTTTCACCTTGTCCAGGTATGAGTCACAGATCCATAATCTCTGAGACGGGAGAGGAAGTTAAGTACACTTCAAAACCTATGTAACAGAGATATCAAGGTACAAATTGTTCAAAGGTGAGATTAAGATGGAGTTCTTTCTGAAAAATTATCAACTCCTTTTCTTACCTCCAGGCAAGAGAAAAGTCAGTAAAGGGTTGTTAAGGTAATAAACGTGGAAGGGTTATGTCCAGGATGATGCAGAATGCACTCTAAAGCCAGAGAGGGCACCAGAGTCATAGGGTGCACAGAGGCACCAGTGAGCCATGGCCCTCAGGAAACAATAAGTTGCCTGTTCCTGGACCTTTGAGAGACAAGTGGCCACCTGGGGGCTACAGAGATGAGCAGCAATCTGGTTATCCAGCCTCTCTCATCAGGCTGGCCAAAGTGCTGGGCATTTATCAGGAAGGTTGTGCACAGCTTCCAGAAGTCACTAAGATATAAGTAAAAGAATCAGCACTAAGGGAAAGGGCAGCAGGTGTCATATGAAGTCTCAAAGGTGGCAAGAAAAAGCCCCCGAGACAGCCCAAGAAGCAGATGGATGAGGAAAGTAAGACATTCCAGCAGAAAGCAAAGGCCAAGGGAAAAGGCCCCCAGGACACATGGGAAATAAAGAAATCTGGCCAGGAATGGGCTGTTCCTTTGTGCCTGGGGCAATGGTGATCCTAAATTCTATTCCTGTTTTAACATCTGGATTCCCTATGATAACATCAGTTGCCACCTACAGCTAGAATGAAGAAGTATTGTCTGCGAGCTTATTGTACATTTAAGAATAAAGTTTTGTAAAAATAAATAAATAAATAAATAAATAATGCTAATTTAACAAAAGAGTAAGAGGACCAGCTTCAAGAGGGTCTGGTCCCTGCAGAGCCCCTAAGAGCCCGCCCCTCCCACAGGCCTCCTGATAAGGGCTCTCACTCCTGCTGGCCTCACCAGGAGCTTGGGCTTTATGAAGAGGGAGAACAGGGCTCATCTCACAGGCTTCCTGGAGAACAGGAGGGAGGGATTTGCTGTCTGGGAAAGGAGTATTCTGGCTCACCTTGGAAAGGTAGAAAGTCAAGACTACAGAATAGGGAGAAGATGAGGTAACAGCCTGGAGAAATAATGATCCCTCCAAGAAATAAATAAGACTGCTTTTTTAAACAGCCCTTCTCTAAAGATCACTCTTCCCCCGGACTCAGTGTTTCTCTTTTCTGCCACCTCAGCAGAGAGAGTCAGCAGAGCAGCTTCAGAATCACAATTTAAGACACCAAACACAGTCAGTCTCCTCCCCCAAAGCCTACTGTCCTTTGTCCCCAGAAAATGCCCCACTCACTTTTAGGAAATATACAGGAGTCTTAATTCAATGGAGGAGATCAGCTGTAAGTCAGGTCAGTATTCCACTCACCAAGCCAGCGACCGGCTCTCCACAGAGGAGTTCCCGACAGAAGTGGAGTGAGAAATGAAAGTTAAGTTCATAGGAGTGGAAAATAAACAAAGGAAGCAAAACAGAAACTTAAGAACAATAACAATGTGCCCTGACTGGTTTGGCTAAGTGGATAGAGCATTGGCCTGCGGACTGAAGGGTCCCGGGTTCAATTCCAGTCAAGGGCATGTACCTTGGTTGCAGGCACATCCCCAGTAGGGGGTGTGCAGGAGGCAGCTGATTGATGCTTCTCTTTCATCAATGTTTCTAACTCTCTATTCCTCTCCCTTCTTCTCTGTAAAAAATCAATAAAATATATTTTAAAAAAGAACAATAACAATGTGAAGTCACCAGTTAGGACATTTAGGGAAGTCAATGCTTCCATATGTTCTTATAGTTTTATCCTTTTTGCAGATTATTCTTGCAAGAATATTTGAATAAGAAGAATGTGAAATTTAATGATACACTCCACAGCTATCCTGAATACTCAGAATTTCAATTCAATTCTATACCTACTAGTTAAGCTTTTCCTATAGTTATGTCCTGAACTACTTACTATGGATAAAATCATGATCCAGGAAGTCTGGGTACCTGCCCTTTGTAATGCAGAGTGTGATGGGAAGATAATCAGTGATAGAGATCTGATAATTTGAACTGAATGGTAGCATCTGTCCTTGGAATTTTAGGAAAGATTCTTCTTTCTAAATAGTAGGAAAGAGCTGGTATGTAGAATTTTTTTTTAGCCTATTGAGAAAAATTTTCCACAACACCACTGAACCTTAGCTGATCCTTCAGTTAACTACCAGTTTTTGTTTCTGACCTAGAAACAAAAGCCTTCCAGACATAATGTGGAACAGCTGAGGCAGTGACATGTTACTAGCCACTAGGAGGCAGTAAGAGCATGGAATTTAACACAGGGAGGTGCTCTTCAAGTGGAGTCTTTATCTAGGTAACACTCACACCTCCATAAGCGACCACTTTCCCCACTTCTTTGGGAAATATTTGGAACTTTTTGCACCATCAATCAAAAGCAGAAATGGGTTCCGTCCCTGCTTACCGCGCTGCGTCGTGTCCCGCGAGCGGCCCGCGCGCCCATCAGCCGCCGCCGCGGCCTCCCGGCCGGCGCCCGGGCAGGGGGCGGCGGGCCCGGGGCCGCGAGAGTGCGGGTGACAGGCCCGGCCTCGCGGGAGGCCGAGGCGGCGGGCGCTCCCGCCCCGCGCCGGCTGTTCATGAAGCATGTCGGCCACCAACGTGGACCCCCAGAGAAGCAAAGGACAAGACAATAAAGTACAAAATGGTTCTTTGCATCAGAAGGATACAGTTCATGACAATGACTTTGAGCCCTACCTTTCTGGACAGTCAAATCAGAGTAACAGTTACCCCTCCATGGCTGACCCCTACCTGTCCAGCTATTACCCGCCGTCCATTGGATTCCCTTACTCCCTTAATGAGGCACCGTGGTCAACTGGAGGGGACCCTCCCATCCCGTACCTCACCACCTACGGACAGCTCAGCAATGGCGATCATCACTTCATGCATGACGCCGTGTTTGGACAGCCTGGGGGCCTGGGGAACAACATCTATCAGCACAGGTTTAATTTCTTCCCTGAAAACCCTGCCTTCTCAGCCTGGGGGACAAGTGGGTCTCAGGGACAGCAGGCCCAGAGTTCTGCTTATGGGAGCAGCTACACCTACCCGCCGAGCTCCCTGGGTGGCACGATTGTGGACGGGCAGACGGGCTTTCACAGCGACACCCTCAACAAGGCCCCCGGGATGAACAGCCTGGAGCAGGGCATGGTGGGCCTGAAGATCGGTGATGTCACCACCTCTGCAGTTAAGACAGTGGGCTCAGTCGTCAGCAGTGTGGCAATGACTGGTGTGCTTTCTGGCAATGGTGGGACAAATGTAAACATGCCGGTTTCGAAGCCGACTTCATGGGCTGCCATCGCCAGCAAGCCAGCAAAGCCGCAGCCGAAAATGAAAGCCAAGGGCGGACCTGTCATCGGGGCCGCACTGCCCCCTCCGCCTATAAAGCATAACATGGACATTGGCACCTGGGATAACAAGGGGCCCGTGCCCAAGGCCCTGGCCCCACAGCAGGTGCCGGCTCCCCAATCTGCCCCCCAGCCTCAACCGGTTGTGCAGCCTCTGTCAGTTCAGCCCCCACCTTTGGCCCAACCACAGTATCAGAGTTCTCAGCCGTTGCCCCAAACCCGCTGGGTCGCCCCCCGCAACAGGAATGCAGCGTTTGGGCAGAGCTCGGGGACGGGGGGTAACAGTCACTCCCCTGGAAGCACCCAGTCTGGTTCTGCCCTGAGCGCAGAATCCCATCCAGTCCTTGAGAAACTGAAGGCTGCCCACAGCTACAACCCTAAGGAGTTTGACTGGAACCTGCGGAGTGGCCGCGTGTTCATAATAAAGAGCTACTCGGAGGATGACGTGCACCGCTCCATCAAGTACTCCATCTGGTGCAGCACCGAGCACGGTAACAAGCGCCTGGATGGCGCCTTCCGCTCCGTCGGCAGCAAGGGACCTGTCTACCTGCTCTTCAGCGTCAACGGTAGCGGCCACTTCTGTGGGGTGGCGGAGATGAAGTCGCCCGTGGACTACGGCACAAGTGCTGGGGTCTGGTCTCAGGACAAGTGGAAGGGCAAGTTTGACGTGAAGTGGATTTTTGTTAAGGACGTGCCCAACAACCAGCTCCGGCACATCCGACTGGAGAACAATGACAACAAGCCGGTCACAAACTCCCGCGACACCCAGGAGGTGCCCTTAGAAAAAGCAAAGCAAGTGCTGAAAATCATCGCCTCCTACAAGCACACCACTTCCATCTTTGATGACTTTTCTCACTATGAGAAGCGACAGGAGGAAGAGGAGGTGGTGCGCAAGGAACGGCAGAATCGGAACAAACAGTAAGGATGAGCTGGTTTCTGTTATGATCTAATGTTTGATTGAAAAGCCAAGTTTCAGAACGTGTGCTTGGTGCTGTGCCTGGGTCAGCCCAGCCGTCTTCCTGTGCAGGCCTTGTGCTGCCTCTCTGCGTTCTCTGTCATTTGTTTTTGCCCAGGTGGCTCTTCACTCATGTGTATTTTTTCTGTGTATTATAGTATTGTAGAACTCACTAATAAAGAAAGTTTTCGTCAGCTTATCAATCAGATTGACCTAATGCGAAATATAAATATCTTTAAAAAAAAAACCTAATGCACCCCCAAAGAATTTTTTTGGGGGGCAGGAATTATGTGCTTGTTCTTATATTCAAAGCCATCTAACATCTTTCTTTGAGATTATTTCTCACCCCTGTTGCCTCGTCTTGAATGTATCGAACCATGAGTTTTGTCATGTAGCATATGTGTTAAATACTCTCTTCAAAGTGCAAGTGAGCAATCACCTGGTTGGGCTGGTTTGCCATTTTATGATCAGTTACCTGTCTAAGAAGCTACTCTGCCATCTGTTTTTTACTAGAGAAAGATAAATTTTAGTTTTCCAGATTTGGTTACGGCTGTGTTTCCTTGGGCCGCCCACCCTCTCCAACCCCGCACCGGAATAGCACTGTCCAGCGGGGTGACAGCAGGGCCCGGTGTGCGGAGGTTAGGGTCCAGGGTTCAGGCCCCCTCAGTGTGTGCAACTCATTGTAACCCTTTATCTTCTCTTGAGAATCCTGATGCCATCTTACGTTTTTATACCAGTAATGCTGAGCTTGTATCGCTCTGCTCTGGTGCAGACAGTGTCATGGATGGTGCTGCCCACTGTAAATCTCACCGCGTGGCTACTTTTCTTCTTCCCGTCAATTGGTTTTTAAAAAGAAAACAAAAAAACTTTAGACACTGAGTGTTCGGTCATGTTTTGTGGAGTGAGGGCTGTTGCCCTCACTGTCACCTGGAGTTGAAGCATGGAAATGGTGCTCGTGCCTGCCACGCTCGCTCGCACACGCCTCTACACGTGCCCCCTAGAGGACTTGCCGTGTAGAGAGCAGATCTAAAAACTATTTACTCTGAATGGCCCTCTGAGTTCAAGTGTAGGTAGGCTGTATTATTTAGACTTGTGTTTAGAATGTGTCCCTTTCTCTGAACTGTTACCACTTGGATGGAGTCATGGACAACATGGGACACTGTTACCTTGAGAAAAGTACAAGCCTTAATAAACAATCCTATTACCAAAAAAAAAAAAAAAAAAAAAAAAAAAAAAAAAAAAAAAGCAGAAATGAAAAAAATATTCAAATTAAAAATAAATTTTGAAAGGTTCAATGTATGCATGACATAGTCCTATAATAAAAACAGAATGGCAATAAAATAAAAATAAGTATGCCGAAACCGGTTTGGCTCAGTGGATAGAGCGTCGGCCTGCGGACTGAAAGGTCCCAGGTTCAATTCCGGTCAAGGGCATGTACCTGGGTTGCGGGCATATCCCCAGTAGGAGATGTGCAGGAGGCAGCTGATCGATGTTTCTCTCTCATCGATGTTTCTAACTCTCTATCTCTCTCCCTTCCTCTCTGTAAAAAATCAATAAAATATATTTAAAAAAATAATAATAAAAATAAAAATAAAAATAAGTATAATGAAAGCAGATATTTTGGTATTGTTTATAACCTATAGTTGAATAAGGTAACCTTGTCTTAAAACTATTCTTGATTCACATGTATCTATGAGGCAGGAGCTGGAATTTATATAGGTGCATTTGGTGTACCATATTGACAGTTTCCGTTCCATGGAAGTGGACTTTAAGTGATTGGAGAAGAATGAATTTATTACTAACAACACATAAACTCATGATCCTTTGCAAGTGCAATGATAAGCATGTAAATTTTGCACAGTGTGCGTTCTGAGAGCTTGAATGTTTTCTCTTATTATCACATCTATACTAATAAAAGAGAAACATGGTAATTGGCGTACGACCGCTACCCTTTTCATTGGCTAATCAGCGAGATATGCAAATTAACTGTCAGCCAAGATGGCGGCCGGCAGTCAGTCAGCTTGAAACTAACATGAGGCTTGCTTGCCTCAGTGACGGAGGAAACCAACGTTCCCCGCCTGCGGCTGCAGGCCTCTAAGCCTGCAGTTTCAAACATTGTAACAAATACCGCCGGACTTCAGCCAGCAGATTCGCAGCATTGTATGCAAAGGCCAGAAACCTACTTTCAGCAGCGGAGGCCTAAGAGCTGGAGCCAAGCCTCAAGCTAAAGCTGGCCCAGAATAAAAAAAAGAAAAAGGAAAAAAGGAGCGGTTGGGAGCTTCAGTCACCCCCAGCCTGAAAACAGCCCTCAGCCCCTCACCCAGGCTGGCCAGGCACCCCAGTGGGGACCCCCATCCTGATCCAGGACACACTTAAGGGCAAACGAGCTGGCATCCACCCGTGCACCAGGCCTCTATACTATATAGTGAAAGGGTAATATGCCTCCCGGCACCGGGATCAGCATGACAGGGGGGCAGCGCCCAAACAGCCTGAACGGCCCTGCTCTGTGTGTGACAGGGTGCGGCACCCCAACCCCCCCCCCCCCCCCGGGCCCTGCTCTGTGTGTGACGGGGTAGAGCCATAACCTCCCCATCAGCCCTGCCCTGAGTGTGACAGTGGCGGCGCCCCAATCCCCTGATTTTCCCTGCTCTGTGGATGATAGAGGGCGGTGCCCCAACCCCCACCCCCAGCCCCCCCACGGGCCCTGCTCTGTGGGTGATAGAGGGCGGTGCCCCAACACGCCCTGCCCCCCCACGGCCCTGCTCTTTGTGTGTGACGGGGTAGAGCCATAACCTCCCCATCAGCCCTGCCCTGAGTGTGACAGTGGCGGCGCCCCGATCCCCTGATTGGCCCTGCTCTGTGGGTGATAGAGGGCAGTGCCCCAACCCCCCCCCAGCCCCCCACGGGCCCTGCTCTGTGTGTGATGGGGTAGAGCCATAACCTCCCCATCAGCCCTGCCCTGAGTGTGACAGTGGCGGAGCCCCAATCCCCTGATTGGTCCTGCTCTGTGGGTGATAGAGGGTGGCGCCCCAACCCACTGATCCACCCTGCTCTGTGTGTGACAGGGGATGGTGCCCCAACTCCCCTATCGGACCTACTCTGTGAGTGACAGGGGGGAGCTCCTCAACCCCCTGATGGGCCCTGCTCTGTGCGTGACAGGGGGTCGTGCCGCAACCTCCCCATCGACCCTGCCTTGAGTGTGACAGGGGGTGGTGCCCCAACCCCCTAATCGGCCCTGCTCTGAGCCCGACTGCCGGAAGCCGGTCCATCCTTGCTGCTTGACACAGTCGCTGCAGGAAAGAAACATCTGCACAGCATATGTTTCAAGGGACCTGGCGTATATAGCATACTGTTCTTAATATGTTTGCTCCCCTTAGCGCTGTGTGTTTTAACCAAGGTCACCTCTCCAACAAAGGTTGTTTCCCCAGGTAGGAATTTTTCCCTGAAGTCAGGGAGGGGATGCCTCTCCTAGAAAGGTTGTTTCCCCAGGTAGGAATTTTTCCCTGAAGTCAGGGAGGGGATGAAACTCCTTAACTAAGTGCCAGGAGGGTAGTTAATCACTACAAACAATCATGCTTAAGCTACATAATCTTTACTCCCTGGAATGGAGATAAGAAACGCCCTAACCTTTGTAATAGAAATTGACAGGATTAAAATCAACTGGGATAAATACGGATGTAACAAGACAATAAACGGCAGAACTTCGCTGGAGATCCAGACCAGAACTTGGCTGGAGATCCTGGCTAGAGATCCTGGCTAGGCTGCTGATCAACTGAACGCTGTCTCCGTGTCCTTCCTTCTTCGCCGACTCCATCCACACCTTTGGGGACCCCTGGACCCGCTGGGGTTGGACCCCGGCATCTGGCGCCCGAACAGGGTTCCCTTAGGTAAGTCCCCCCGTACTTGGGACGGATAGGACTGCACCGTAGGGTGCTGCAGACCCCCCCGCCCCCCATAGAGAATAAGTAGGGTAAGCGGGTAGTTAGTACAGAACTTAGATTGACAAGATGGGTCATACTGAGTCTAAAGAAAAAAGACTCTGTATTAATCTTTTAACGCATATGCTTACTAGCAGAATTGGAGTTGAGGTTTTTCCCAGTGAGACAGAAAGTTTTATAGAAGAAGTATGTCAATGGCTTCCAGAGGATGGAACTGTTAATTTAAAAACTTGGGTTGAAGTAGGAAAGCAATTAAAGAAACACCATGAATCTGACAAGGTCCTGCCATGTTTCTTTTCCCTCTGGGATTCAATCTGTGACACCTTGGCACCAGAGGCAAAAACGGTTGAACTTTCTCAAAATTTAAATAGTCCCTTGGCTCCACCCAGAGAGGACACATCATCATTGTCTTCAGCTCAATCTAAAAGCAATTTAGCTATGCCTTCTGATCGGGAGGAGAATAAATATCATAAACATGACCATTGGTCCTTTCCAGACAGTAGAGAGGAGAATGGCCCTCCCATTCAAAACAGGCTCCCCAAATTAGAAAGGAAGCCTAAACCAGGTCCTGTGGCTCCTATGAGCTCCATGTCTAAATTTCAAAGGGCGATAAGAGAAGCTGAAGCTAATGGAGATCTTGAATTCTCACTCTGCTTCCCAGTTACATATGAGAATGAGTCTGGTGGGAATAGAAACCCCACCTTGGAGCCTATACCTTACAAAGTACTTAAAGAATTAAAATTGGCCTGCTCTGAATATGGACCTCTAGCTCCTTACACACAAACCTTGGTAGAAACCCTAGCCAGTAAATGGATGACTCCTTATGATTGGTCACAGGTTTGTAAATCCTGTCTCTCAGGAGGCGATTACTTATTATGGAAAACTGAATATGAAGATCTTGCTAAGAAAGCTGTAGCCATTAGCGAAAAAACCAGAAAAAGAATAACCCTAGACATGATATTAGGAGAAGGTGATTTTAACAGGGCTGAGGAGCAAATGAATATGCCCACAGAGGCACTTACCAAAGTAACCAGTTGTGCAGTAAGTGCCTGGAAATCCCTACCTTATACAGCAGGGAAAACCACCACCCTTACAGAGGTTAAACAGAAGGTCGAGGAACCATATCAGGATTTCCTTTCTCGCCTCATGCAGGCAGTCAAGAGAGTAATCAATAACAAAGAGGCAGCCGATATCCTAATCAAACAACTGGCTTTTGAAAATGCTAATAATACCTGTCAGGCTTTATTAAGGCCGATTCGCAGAACAGG